CAATGATTTAAAAATCTTCAATAAATCCTTTTAAAACCTTCAAAAAAAAAATCTTTAAAATACTCATGAAATCTCAAGTAAATATCCAATGAACCTCTCTGAAGAGTTCAAAACCCACCTAAAACTTAAAAATCTAATATCTTACTATAATTTCAATTTATCTAATATTACCCGACTATATCTTTTCCTTAGGTGTAGTAGATTCTAATTAAAAGAGTAATTAACATTTGGATTAACAAACAACGATTTAAATAATTCAGTGGTTATCTCTTTCCATTAAAAGTAAAATATCATGAATTCGAGTCTTATAACATGCGGATGAAATAAGATAAAAGATGGAAAATGATTGGCTCCTAATGTGCAACAAAAAAAAAAAAATTGGATTAACTATTTACTTGATTACATCTTCTCTCTTTGGCAGTAGTATATTTCAATTTAAAATGTAATTAACATTTGAGATTAGCTATTATCTAACTATATCTTATCTCTTTAATTAACTGTACATAGCCTAATAGTCCCCAACTAGTTACACCTAACTAATCGGCAGTACCCCCAGCACGTAGCGTAACTGTCTTATTTCAATAATTAGCCTTACGTAGGTTGTAACGTAGCCCGGCCCAATTGTCCCCCATCTCTTTAATTAACAGTAACCCAACTACATCTTCTTTCTTTCTTTCCCCCACCTTTTTTTTTTTTTTGTGAATACATTTTCTTTCACTATTTGGATTAGCACTAATAGGTACCTAATAACTTGATTTTCACAAATTGCATTACCATATATATGTCGTTAATTCTTAGATTTCCCATCTATTATTCTTTTATAATTTCCTTCTTTGAATCCAATGGATCCTAATTCTCAAACTATCAGTGATGTGTGAAAAAGTAAATGTTATTTTAAAATTGTCCCATGTATCCAACGAAATTTGGGATGTTATAGCCACAGGAAGATATCCTATCAATGACAGTCTTGGTGCTATGGCTATTGACGTTAAGGTAAGTTTTAATACTTTTTAGTTGATGTATTTAATAATATGGTGGACGAATCAATCTCTGAAATTATCACTTCTTTAATTGATATATTCTTTATTGCTTTCCTCCGTTGCCTGATGTATTTATTTAATCCTTCTGTTCTTAATCCATTTTTTCTTTTATTGTATTTGTTTTAGGGTGATTCTATACACATCACACTTCATGGTAAACAAGCAAATATTTTCTGATCTTTGCTCCTTGAGGGACAATTGTATGCCGTTACAAATTTCGATTGTGTGATTGAATCTAGCTACCAACCTGTAGCAAGATCTGTGAACATTAAATTTAATAGTACAACTCATGTATTGGCTGTCAATGAACCTAATATTAACATTAAACCTTATTCATTTGAGTTTTTATCGTATTTAAATATTGCTCTCAAATTGAACCAAGATATTTGTCTCACTGGTAATATAAAACTACCATCATTTCAATTAACCCATTAACATATTTCTATTATTAAAATGTGTAGACTCCTGTTATTTAAAATTGCAAATTTAATTGGTGTTCTCACTGGTGTAGAAGACCAAAATTTACGGAATACAAGATATGGGGATGGAACAAAGTCTAAATTTTATATACAAGATTTTTTGTGAGTGTGATAATGGACATTAATAAATTAATGTTTGTTTTACATTTACTCTATTTATTTATTGTTACCTAAATATTTTTATTTTTGCTTCTAAGGGGTAGGACCGCACATTCTTGATTCAATAGTCCACCAAACGTGATGAGTGGTCGTTCCACTTGTTACGTATCTAAAGATGATAAATTGGCTAAATTAATCAAACAGGCAAATCTAATTATATGGGACGAAGCCTGACTTATTCACAAGCATTGTTTCGAAGCCGTTCATGAGACACTACAGGATATCTTGGAAGGCACAATTGCCGATGCCAATTAGAGACCATTCGGGGAAAGACAATCGTTCCAGGTGGTCATTTTCACCAATGCTTGCCTGTAATACCTAGAGCAAGTCATGAAGAAACAATGTTGACCTCTATAGGGAGATTATTCCTCTAGAAATATTGTGAG